TCGAAAAATCGCGTTCTAACGTAGCGGAATGTATTCGGGACGTCCAGAAGGGGCCCCAGCTCGATTCGCGCGAGCACACGCGGCACGGTTTCGGAGGAGATACGTAAAACGACACTTCGGCTCTTTCTACTATTATATAGTAGATTGGAATTTTACACTTTGTGGTTGCTGTTGCCAGGTATAACCCGCGTGTCTACACTGTTGTGAGTGAATTGTCTAGGGAATTACTGCCACGACGAGGCCATGTACTAATGAGTCTACATTGCTTTCACAGGTCTGAACATATTCAGCTCAATATTAAGGATGACTCGAGCCAACTTCTGAAGTTTCAGTCGAAACCGGAACAAGCTTGAACTCGAAAATGTTTGGAACTGGAATTACTTTGCTGAAAATATGCATCAGTGTTAATTTTACACACAAATTCATTCGAATGACATGCAAACATATTCACACATATGCAGACGTGTATCACTCGGGAGCATAGCATAATATCCATAGTAACAAATGAAAAATAGCTCTTAAATATCTTAGGTGTAAATATCAGCTACATAGCCTCCATAAATTCAGGCCTGAATGTAAATATTTTGAAGCGAATATAGCACCAATACTCGCAAATGTATACTTTGCTAACAATCCTGCCTTACTACTTTCATTTTCACCCACTCTGAGGAGGATCGGGGTGGGGTTGAATTTGAAACGAATACCTCATGAATCTGCAAGCATTTGCATATAAAACAATAAATTAAGATACCATTTCTAAAGGATTTACCTATTGCCTGATAGTATATAGGTTCTGTTTAATTACATAGTCAATATTTAAGCGACCAGATTTCCCTAGGTAAAATAACACTATATATCTCTTCACCTGAACTGATCTCTCTGTGTTATTTACGTCACGAGTGACGCGCAGAATGCATACTTTAAAATATGACCTATTGCTGTGTTGCCACATACGGCTTAATTGCTAGTGTAGCGTTGAAGTTACACCAAGATTTGAATAAAATAACATGTGTTTTACAGATGTTTACACTAGTAAGTGTTAAATCCATCCATGGCATCTGCAACCCTCCTTAAACAATCCATGGTAGCAATTCATTTTTTTCTAAAGGAGGCAAATTATAGCTGGTGGTAATTTAACATGTTCCTGGGAACAAAGGATAATTGGGCAGAAAGAAAATGCTGGAGGGTATCTAAGATAAAAAGATCTAAGCTCAGCAAGGTCTCATTCAGATGATCAAAAAATCTTATTAGAATAATTAGCCTTAAATTGGCCACAATACCAGTAGGAAAAAGCCATACAATGTGGTTGTTACTTAGGATGATAAATGCAACACACATGGATGCTGTGTAATTTCCATGGAACATTCATTCATGCATAAATTAAGCTATCTATTAATTGTTGTAGCAAATCATAAATTCTATCTGGCCATGACTGGTGCTACCCTTTAACATTTAAAAACTGCCACTTTACCTATTTCCTTTATAAGCAACATGAGGCCTGGTTATATATGTGTGGGATATGTCTGCCGCTACCCAAGCGACATGTGCATGACGATTCTATTCCTCAATTATACTAGATAAGAATTTGTGGACACAACAATTTTTAATCTGTTGCCATAGAATTTTTACCGACTTCCAACAGAAGATATTAATTTTGTACCCTTATGTGACCTGGCAAATACAAACACAATAACTGAAGCCATCTAATGACCAATACAGATGAGCTAAAATTACTAAATATTTATATACATGCTCATTAAACGAAAGTGTCAATGACACTATAGCTCACATGGGTGTGATAGAAGAGGGAGATGATATTTAAAATTTGGCAAGTGTTTCATTTATGACGGACCGAAATGTGATCAAATGTCCTTATTCCCTGTTTTATACTAATAGAAATTTCGTTAGAAGTTTTGTTTCAGGGTTAGTTTTGATGCGAAAATAAATGTTTCAGATCTGAAAGTCTGAAATCTGGGCGAGAGATGGTGCTACGCCTAAATGATCGCCATTTTGGTTTTCGATTATCTCGCAAATAAAAGCAATAAAATATTCCAGTCAAATTGCTGTAATGAAGAAACTAAAACGCAATATTACAGGTAGGTATCATTAGGTAGGTAGGTAGGTAGGTAGGTAGGTAGGTAGGTAGGTCAATTTAACAAAATCGAATGAATCTAGATGGCCACTTTCATTTTTGCCAAAAAGTGGGCGTGGCTCGAAAGTAGGTCGACTGGCGTGCTCCAAAATAGGACGTGCAAATCTCTCCCATAGGAGTAACAACTGTATGCAATTTGAAGCATGTGGGTCAAACAGTTCTCGAGTTATCGTTGACCGTAGGCAGACACTGAAATGCATAGTGAAATTGCCAAAATCTACCCAATTTGCATAATTTAAAAAAAATATTAAAACACATGTGATATGTTTTGGGGCCAGTCCTTATTCATTCACATACCAAAAATGAGCAAAATCCATTTAACCTGAACTGAATTATGGCCATTTCCATTTTTCCCAAAAAGTGGGCATGGCTCGAAAGTAGGTCGACTGGCGTGCTCCAAAATAGGACGTTCAAATCTCTCCCATAGGAGTAACAACTGTATGCAATTTGAAACATGTGGGTCAAACGGTTCTCAAGTTATCGTTGACCGTAGCCAAATGTTGACGGACGGACGTACGACGGACGACGGACGACGCCCCATGGCAATAGCTCATCTTAACGATGTCAAGGTGAGCTAAAAATTGATACACTTACCAAGGTAAAGCGGAACCAGTCCATCAAGATATTGTAGCATTAGTGGTCCCATAAATAAAATCTGAAAAATGAAAGTTAGTTTATAAGCTTGTCAAGTTATCTACATAGCTAGAGTGAGATACATAGATTAGAAATAAAACTGATAAAAAATTCAAAACTTCAACCATCATATTCACTCAAATTGTGAATGAGTTAGTTAATAGATTACAAATTAATTGCCTACTGGTTAGTTAGTTTTAAGAAGAATGATAATAACGCAATTGACATGTAAATACAGTTTATCAGTCCTGACTTACAGTTACATGACCTACTTACCATAGTTAACAAGCATGGTAAAAGTATAGCTATAGCAAGTCCATTGACTTTCACACCCAGCCATTGCCATAGAGTGTGTTCCTGCAAAGCATTATTATATAGTCAGTGTTTCCCCTGCATTGACACGGGCGAGGCAGGCCGCTTCGCTCAAATTCTCAGCCGCAACACAGAAATTTGTCCAAAACACCTGATGAAAATCACTGTTTTCCCATCAATAAACTACACTTTATTGAACTAGAATAAAAAGATAGCTTAGAATGCACCAAAAAGAAACCATTTTTTCCAAAAAATTGAAAAAACCTGTAGTGTTCACTTTGCTAGGACCTCAAAATGTGCAAACACACCAAAAAAAATTACCACCTCATAGACCATTTTGGTCAGAGAAAACACCATATATAGTGTTATAAAAAATGCAAATTCACATTTTTATCGACACCCATGGCCAGCTCACGACTTTTATTTCGTTTCTAAATGTATTTTCGAAACCCAGCATAATTTGCTGCTATAAAAATTATCTGGTTGTCTAACAACATATTAACAATATGAAACACAAGTAATGAACTGGAAACAAGCAATGTTATTCTATTTAGTAGTTTCTACTCATTCATAACAAGTATGGATACAAAATCAATCCTACCTTAGCTTGCCTTATAACTTAGGCCTACCTCAAAAATCTCTGGATACGATGGCAAGACGAGTTTCTTTAGATATATTGGCGCTATACAGCACACTACAAATACACTTATGAATCTTCTTTTGATGGTTTCAGGATGGTCTCTGAAACATTATTGTAATTAACAATGATTAATATGTAGTGATGCTTTTACAATGTTATATTACACACGCACGCACGCACGCACGCACGCACGCACGCACGCACACATATATATCATTCTCGATTCAGAGTATCAGAAATAAATCAAGACTTTATATTTTAACATGGAATGTGAATGGAATATTTTAACATTCTTTTATGGAATTTAAAATCTGTTAAGTCATAGTTATCCCACACATCTTGTTACAGTCTAAATTTATGAAGGAGGGGTGTTGCCAGTGGCACTCACAGCCTGGCAAAGTGTAGCTCATAGGGTCTATGTCCCCCAGAGTACTGCCGGAACGTACACTGGGTACGGTCCGGTATACCGGAACGTACCCTGGTCACTATTTGATATGGTTAGAGTTAGGATTAGGGTTAGGGTTAGGGAGTAGGCGTAGACGACTCCCTAGACTCGTTAGTGGAGTAGGCGAGGTACGGTCCGGCCCGGCATATTAGATAGTACCAGGGTACGTTCCGCCAGTATACCCCGGGGGACATAGACCCTTTCAGCCAAAGTGTACCGGTTACTGGTAACTTGTTGCTTTATACAGAATAAAGATGAGGAATGCTTACACCTAACAGCATTACCTGCTATAAGACTGCATGCATTGTTGTTTAATATATAGAAATTAGAATAAAGATGAGGAATGCTTACACCTAACAGCATTACCTGCTATAAGATTGCATGCATTGTTGTTTAATATATAGAAATTAGAATAAAGATGAGGAATGCTTACACCTAACAGCATTACCTGCTATAAGATTGCATGCATTGTTGTTTTATATAGAATAAGGACAAAGAATACTTACACCAAACAGAATTACCTGCTATAAGATTGCATGCATTGTTGTTTTATATAGAATAAAGATAAGGAATGCTTAAACCTAACAACATTACCTGCTATAAGATTGCATGCATTGTTGTTTTATATAGAATAAAGATGAAGAATACTTATACACCTAACAGAATTACCTGCTATAAGATTGCATGCATTGTTGTTTTATATAGAATAAAGATGAAGAATACTTATACACCTAACAGAATTACCTGCTATAAGATTGCATGCATTGTTGTTTTATATAGAATAAAGATGAGGAATGCTTACATCTGACAGAATTGCCTGCTACAACATTGCATGCTCTGTTTGGTATGAATTAAATCTAATTAGATCAAAAGATATTGAAGCTCTAGTTCATATAGCCTAGTGAAGCAATATAGCAACTATATCTAAGGTTTACTAAGACACACTACCTTGAATTTAGTTTAATATTAGTGATAATCAAGTGGGTTCAATCATACTTCAGGAACCTGGGTTTTAATAATGAGCTTAGGACTGGGTTAACAATAGATTAGGGTAAAGCTTCATGATGGAGTGAAGTCAGGCACTCTAGAGTTAGCTTAGTAGGTTAAGTTGGGGCTACAAATAGGATTGGGCTAAGGTTAAGGGTAGCCACAGGTTACCTTCTCGCTTCTCACTACATGGCGAGATGATCACAAGCGGATGTAACAACCAAACCTTGTAGCTAATGAAGCACTGTAACAAAATGTACTAATACCCAACTTCTGATTACTCTTACCGCTTCTCTGTACTTCCATGTCATTATTAACCATGTGCGCGCTATTGCCAAGTATGTATTTTCATGTCAGCGAGTATTTTTGAGATTCGATACGGAAGAAATTTGAACAAGGCACATATCACTGTTTGAATTCTGCATGATTTTCCAGCACCCTCGTTGGTTCTTGCGCATGCACAGTAATGCAAGTATGGAGTTTGCCAACTTTCAAAAATGTAACACCTTTTCAAATTGCCAGATTATAACATGAATACCTAGGCAAATACCAGTTAAGAAGTGTGCTATATATGAGAATACATACTTGGCAATAGTGTGCACATGGTTAATAACGACATGTTCGGCGCCACTAAAATCGGCAATGGACCTGGGGGCCGTTGTCAGAAACATCGTAAAGTTAATGCTAATGTTAATGCTAAGATAACACTTACGACTAATGTTAATGTTACAAGAGGAGCATTGACAGAAACACATCGCCACTATTAGAAAACTTACGATAACAGGAACTTCATCACAAAGCTACTGATTGGATGAGAATCGATCACAAAATTCAAATTCATACACATTTATTGTACGTCACAGTATATGCATATTATGCATGTTATAATATGTATATGCATATTATGATGGCTAACCACATATAAATAATATTTGATGAAAAAACGACGCGGTCATGAATGAATTTATTCTGCACAACAAGACAAATTCTCACACTGTAACACGAGACGCGAGAGTCGTGGCCAGTGGCAAACAACATTAAAACAAGAGAACAAATGCCATACGCCATTTGTAAATGTTTTGTTTTGTTTTATGATAGGTAGATAATTAATGTTTTTGACGTGTTTTTAAAGAAAAACACACACTTTACTCATTATTATAAAATATAATATCACTATAATTGTAATTTGTAGTGTAAATGTGTTATTTTCATCTTAATATGAAAGTTATGAGAGGGTCTGGGCTCTCGTAATGTTAAGAGGATATTTTCAAGGATTTTTCGTTCTCGTAACATTACGATGTTTTTGTCAACGGTTTACAAGTGGAAGTTAATGTTAAGACTAATGTTAAGACTAATTTTGTTTCTGACAACGCCCCTGATTTTCACAGTGTGTAGGCCTAAAGACAAGGCAAGTACATATCTTCGTAATGATAATTATTAAGTTGTTGTAGATTGATGTTTCCTGGTTTTCAATGTTTTAATATTTATATATATACGAGTATATGCTTATTTATGCTCGCGCCAACGCTATGGTATATGTTATGTCGTTTCGGGTTTTCCGCGTTCCGATCGAAACGCATGCGCAGTGGAAACAGCGGTTAAAGTAAAATTTAGGTTCGGCTCTTGAAATTTACACTGTGCACAGCGAACTGAGGACTGAGGAATAGTTTTAATAACAATGCTGGAATACTATAAGGGGAAGGTTATACTTGATACAAAACAAGGCAGAAATGCTTAGATGATTATTTTATTTGAGATATATGTAATTGTTCAGCAGTTTTTGTAGAGGTACAAGATTATCCAATGGATGGGTGTCAGGCTGTGTATATTGATGTTAGTCACACAGCCTGGTCAGGCTATAGACTATTATAGTTGGCAGTGGCTATGGGTACGACAGCCGTATCTTAATGTCTCGAGGCTACGGGTACGGCAGTCCACTTATCCGCTTTCATACTTAACGAGACAAAGATGGCGGCGGTGGCGCCAGATTTCGAAATAATGCCTTGGGAAATAAATTCCCGATTTGAGAGTTTAGATGAGCTAGAACCCTAACCCTAACCCTAACACCAAAAAGGGGCTTCAACGAACGACGGCTGTCGTACCTCCAGCCACTGCGATTATAGTTACTAGAGCTGATAGGGTCTATGTCCCCCAGGGTACTGCCGGAACGTACCCTGGTACTAAATACTACTATCTAATAAGTAATATGCCGGACCGTACCTCGCCTACTCCACTAATCATTAACGAGTCTAGGGAGTCGCCTACGCCTACTCCCCAACTCTAACCCTAACCCTAACCATATCAGCTAGATAGTTACCAGGGTACGTTCCGGCAGTACCCGGGGCCGATATGTATCACACCATTTAGCTCTAGTAATGCTGATAGGGTCTATGTCCCCATCATCAGCATTACTATAGCTGATATAGGGTCTATGTCCCCCAGAATACTGCCGGAACGTACCCTGGGTACAGTCCGGTATACCGGAACGTACCCTGGTAACTATCTAGCTGATATGGTTAGGGTTAGTGTTAGGGTTAGGGTTAGGGTTAGGATTAGAGTTAGAGTTAGCGTTAGGGTTAGGGTTATGGTTATATGGTTAGGGAGTAGGCGTAGGCGACTCCCTAGAGCGAATAATTCTGTCCCATATAACCTTTTTTATATTTTGGTGAGGGTTATATTGGGACAGAACGGGGTTCATTGAAATTTCGTGAGATCACATGCAAAATGCATGCGCTGCCAATGCGGTCCGTACGCCGCTATTGGCGCGAACAAAACCTACTGTTCCCTTCTACATGGCTTTACCTTGCTACTGATATGTGTATACATTCACTTCAATCGTTATTTACTTCTTAAAAGATTGTTTTTCAGAAACCCCGCTTCATTAACTTTAGTAAATTACGTTGGCCATTTACAAACAATCAGACCAATCAGAGCGAGTCTTACAATACCCCCTGGTTCTCGCTTGTATCTGTGGCGCTGCAGGAGGCCTGATAGACTTGCTGTGATTGGTCTGATTGTTTGTAAATGGCCAACGTAATTTACTAAAGTTAATGAAGCGGGGTTTCTGAAAAACAATCTTTTAAGAAGTAAATAACGATTGAAGTGAATGTATACACATATTACTATTAGTAGCAAGGTAAAGCCATGTAGAAGGGAACCGTAGGGTTTTTGGTTCAAGGATAGAGAACATGGGTACCAATAAAACCAATATCATTTATATCAATATCAATATAATATTATATCAATATAAAAGGTTATGGTTAGGGTTAGGTTTAGGGTTAGGGTTAGAATTATAGTTAGGGTTACGCACATTGGTTTTATTGGTACCCATGTTCTCTATCCTT